AAGAGTTATGCTTGTGATGGAATGATTAAACTAAATATTAATAAAATAAGTTATTCTGCTTATATTGTTTGTTCTTCTTCTATTTGGCATGCACGTTTAGCATATTTAAATTTTAGATCTTTAAAGTATATGTCAAAGCATGGTTTTATTTCTTGTAGTGATGATTGCAATGATAAATGTGAAATTTGCATTGAATTAAAAAGGACTAAGAAACCTTTTCCTAAAGCTAATCGAAATTCACAACTATTAGAAATAATTCATTCTGACATTTGTGAATTAAATGGAAAATTAACTAGAGGAGGAAAAATATATTTTATAACTTTTATTGATGATTGTTCTAGATTTACTTATGTATATCTAATGGCTAATAAAGATCAAGCTTTTGACATGTTTAAACGTTATAAGGCTGAGATTGAAAATCAAAAGGAAAAAAAAAAAAAAAATTCTTTGTAATGATAGGGCTAGTGAATATTTTTCTAATGATTTTTCTGGTTATTGTGAAGAATATGGAATAATACATCAGAAAAGTGCATCTTACACTCCATAACAGAATGGTTTGGCTGAAAGAAAAAATAGGACACTTGTTGATATGGTTAATTCTATGTTGTTGAATGCTAAATTACCTATAAATCTATGGGGTGAAGCTTTACTTACTGCTTGTCATGTGCATAATAGAATTCCATCTAGAAAACACATATTTCACCTTATGAGATTTGGAAAGGAAGAAAACCTAACTTAGAATATCTTAGAGTGTGGGGGTGTTTAGCCTTTTATAGAATTCCTGATCCAAAGAGAACTAAATTAGATCCAAAAGGAATAAAAAGTCTAAATCCTATAGACTATTAGACTTAAATTCTAATGTTATTGTTGAATCTAGAGATGTTGAATTTATAGAAAATAAATTTTGTCATGATTTTTTGTTTGAACCTATTCAAAGGAAATCTAATAATTTGGAATCTAATACATCTCTTAGAGACAAAAAGAATAATTTGGAATCTAATACATCTCTTGGATACCAATATATTACAATATAGTGAGGGATTGTTAAATATATTGTAATATATATGTGTGCATGTGCGTGACTTTTGATTTTAGGTTATAACCATTCAGATAATACATGACTTTTGGTTTACACCTTTTGAATAGGTTGCAACTATTAAGATGGTATATAACTTTTAGTTTGCAACACTTGAATAGGTTACAACTATTCAGAAGATATGTGATTTTTGGTTGCAACTCTTGAATAGGTTACAACTATTCAGAAGATATGTGATTTTTGGTTGCAACTACGTGACTTTTGGTTTGCAACTTTTGAAAGTTTATAAATAGCGATGGTGTCACACATTCTAGATATACTTTTCTGTTCTCTTCCTTGTGTTTTCTAGTCATAACAATTTCAACGAGTGTTTAGGGAATTCCTTCAGTATTGCTAATTGCAGGAATTCAGACTTTGTTGTATCCTGGGAGTGTTTTGCTACAGAACCCGTTAGCAAACTCAATTTGAGTGGGGTAAATAACACTTTAAGGAAAGTGAATACATGCCTCAAAGTCTGTATTTTGTTTAACATCAGTGTGCTTGAGAAGGTCCGGTTATCTCCAACAAATTTTGGATCAATTGATCACACATTATAATTAAATTGAACTTCTGCATATTGCTGCAAATACTAAACCATGAAGATGCTTTTGTTCTGCATATTGCTGCAAATACTAATCCGTGAAGATGCTTTTGTTCTTGCTTCTGTTTTATTTTCGTGAAGATGCTTGTTCTGCTTCTGCTTCCCAATGATCAACCGTGTGTGAGTTATGCAAGAAGAAGGACAAGAAGAATGTATACAGGGGAGTTCGACAGAGGCCGTGGGGAAGTGGATGGCTGTTCAGGAGGAGGACAAGAAGAAGAAGAATGGGTACAGGGAGTTCGAGAGAGGCCGTGGGGGAAGTGGGTGGCTGAGATTCGACATTGGAGACGAGCAGGCCGCGCGGTGGCTTGGCACGATCAATACGGCGGAGGAAGAGCGAGAGCTTACAACAAGGCTGCCATGGAGTTTCAAGGAGCGAAAGCAAAGCTCAACTTCGCAGACTCCATAACTCAGTACACCAAAACGAAGTAGCATAGTGAAGGAAGCTAGAAGAGTAGTACAGAAAGGAGTGATGAATTTTGGTACATGCTAGAAGAGTGACAAGGATAGCACTGACTCTTTTAGTTATATACTAGCCTCTGAGACTTCTTGTTACAAAAATAAATTCTCATACTATATAAATAACATCCTCCTCTTGATGTACTGAAGTACAGTATATTATAATTAATGGTTGAGATTTTACCCACTAACGTTCTCTACCTAAATATTTTATATATTTATAAATTATGAAAAATTTTACTCTTATAGAATCTTCTTCAATCTACAAACATTTACAAACTCTCATTTTTAGAATCTTTTATTTTTCTCTACAATACTTCATAAAATATGAAAATATTATAGAATTCATCTTTTCTTCTCAGCATTTCCATATCACCGGTGTGGCACAATAGTATGAAGGTAAGTCCAGAAATGGTGGCTCTGAAATTTTAAGAGTACCCTTTCCTGTGGTGAGAACCCCACGTTACCAAAGTCCTTGATGAAACAAGCATAAACCGTACTTGGACAATATTGACAAAGAAATTACATTTTCGTTTGAGATTTGCCATTTTGTTGTAATGTGTCCTTTTCCCATTCCGCCTCATCTTTCTCATCCCCGATTAAGGGTCCATCCACGATCAGCCCCTAAACCCAACCTCCACTCTTAATCTCTCCATCAGCCTCCCTCACCTTTCTGTTCTTCTCTTCCCTGCTACAGTGGGTGTCCAATTCTGGCGACGGGATGTGATACCAGGTTCGGGATTCTTCTCCGGCCACGGTTGATTGGGTATGTCGGGCGTCGCGGGTAGTATTCAAGCCCTTTTTGTTAGAGCCTTAACCAAACACTCCATTTTTTTTTAATTTTTTTTTTATTTTTATTTTTATTGAGCATTGCACTGATAATGAGCACAGAGCCTGAGAGGACTAAGAAGAAAACAGAGATACAACGACCAAGCCGTGAGCTTTAGTTTCGAAGAACTTCAGTTTCAGTAGGCTACGAACAACGGCAAAGTTTCAGCGATGAACATCAGTTTCAGAAGATGCCATGATCATTGAGGGTACAAACTGAAGTGAATGGAGCTGCAGCGGGCACCAACGAGTCTTCCCTAATTTTCTCTGAATTCGGACAGCTTGGACATATGGTTGAATGATGGTTTCATTAGATAATTTCAGTGCTAGATTGATGAGAATGATGGAATTTCATCTTGGCCCAGGCCTGGAATACGCAGACCGGATTCTCGCCGTCGTCCACACACTTCTCACCGCCGAAAGTCAGTTCAACAACCAGGCATCGGAGACGAGCTTGAAGGCTTCGTTTGCGAAGGCGAGCTTGTTCCGGTCTTGCTGCCGACGAGGTTGCGGCTGGTGAGGAGCTTGTCGGCGATGAGGAGCCACTGCGAGGCCCACCGAGGCCTCGAATACGCAGACCGGATCCTCGCCGTCGTCTACACACCTTGCCCCTGAGAGTCAGTTCAACAACCAGGCATCGGCGAAGAAGATGAATAGAGACGATCGGGGTTTTATTATTATTATTATTTTTTTTTCAATTCTGGGTTTGCGTTAATGTTCTTCGATATTCTATTTGTTTCGATTTGTGTTCTTAATTCTCTGAAGAGTGGTTTGGGTTGTGGTGGTGGTAGTACGATGAACAGTGGTCTGGGTGTATTTCTCTTGGTGGCGGCGTTCTCTCCCGTCATTGATTCTTCTTCCTTGAGAGCTCTGACGAATGGTTTGATCACTCCAGATGATGGTATGAGCTATTTGATATCATTTACAATTGCAGTGACACTGTAGGTTGCCGTCTTGGACTCTCGAGTGGGGTTGCAAGTATAGGGGGGCAAAATAGCCATTTGACATTCCTAGATATTTTGATATTTTTAATAATACAATAATGAGGGTAGACCTTGTTGTAAAATTATAACAAATTCTAACATAGGGGTCTTTATAAATAAAAAAAATGACAAACCTTAAGTTTACATAGGGACCTTTTAGTTGTAATTAAGTCAAATTGCAGGGGAGGTTATTGTAATAATTTTACATAAATTACTTTGAGACCTCTCCCATTCATTTCTTTGATCTTAATTTTAATAAAAGTAATAGTTACATTATTATTAATGTAAAATAATAATAATAAATTTAGGATCATCCATAGAGAGTACCATCTTATTACATTCAAGTATTTTTCATTAGATGGAACTATTTTTTCTTTGTAACATGTTCGTTTAGCAAAATGAATTTGAAAGATATCCTTAACTAAATTTTTTTTTTATGCAAAATGAGTAATATAGGTCACTAACTCATTAATAACGAATTATAAACAGATTGAATATTAAATAGACTAATCAATTCACATCTAATATGATGATTCAAATTTATTTTTAAAAATAAAATTATACACAAATATCTCCATTTTTTTTTAATTTATTAAAAACGAATTAGTTCATATCAAATCCAATAATTTATAAATATACAAAATTGGTTTGTAAATTTGTATACATAACTTCTTAAATTGCTAGATTGATCAAAATTAAAACACTATATTATCCTTATTACTAAGGCTAATAGTTATTTAATAATAAGGATAATATAGTGTTTTAAATTTTAATTAACTGACCCGCTTAATTAAAGGACTCATCCATAACTCATTATTCGCGGGCCGGTTTAAACGGCTTTGCGGGTTTGGATAATATTTTTGACACCCTAATGAAAATCTCATAAACCATCAAGTCGTCGCTGTTGCTGGTTCTACATTTTCTCAACTAAAATTTTACTAAAAAAAAAAATGTAAAATTTTCTTTCAAATACTTATGGACTTTTCCAACTAAAATTTCTTATACTCTGATTAGATGAAAAGTCTATACAATTGTATAAATTTTATCTAAAATTCTAACGATAGACTCTGCCTCTCACTTGGTAACTCTACAGTCTTTGTGTTGGACTTGGAGTTACACGCCAATCTACAAATCCAAGACCTTGTGGCGCTGAAATTCTCTCTCTACAGCTTCTTCTGGTATAACAGAAATAACTAATTCTTCCCCATAATCCACAACCATTCATGGATATGATAAATCTGGAGAGTGGCTTACATGTGTGTATAGCTAGTTGAAAATGGCCTGAAGTTGGAGGCCCATGGTTTTCAATCCTCCATGGCGTGTACTCTCTGGTTCCTCCCTTCGGAATCTTTGGCCAACCCTCTACAGCTCTTTCTTTACTCTCTCTTCTCCCCCAAATCTCAGTCTTCCATCCACAAAAAACCATTCACTTCACAATTCAATCAATTCAAATGGCACAGACTTTCTTCGTCTGATAAGCCTCTGCCATAAAATTGAAAACTTGAAGCCACTGAAATCTCTGCTTATCGTTCACGGGCTTATTGGCCATGAACCACTGGTTGGAGAATTCGTTAAGCTCTGTTTTCATCTGGGTGCTCCAAAGCTAGCTCTTTCTACATTTGAGAAAATTGACAAGCCTAGTTTAAACTTGCAGAATCTAATGGTTAAATGTCTCTGTAATTGTGGGTTATTTGAAGATGTCTTGTGTGTATATCAGAATTGTCTAGTTTTGGGTTGTTCGTCTGATAACTATACCTTTCCGTTTGTGCTCAAGGCTTGTTCTGCCCTGGGGGCTCTTCAGAAGGGTAAGGAGTTACATTGTGTTGTTTTGAGAACTGGGTTTGGAGATAACCTTGTTGTACAGACAGCTCTTGTTGACTTGTATGCTAAATGTGGTCAAATGGGGATTGCACGTTCGCTGCTCGATAGAATTTCCCAACCGGACCTGGTTTCATGGAATGCATTGATTTCTGGGTACTCCTCGAATGGGTTTAATCAGGAGGCTTTCGAGGTTTTCCAGGAGATTCGAGTGATGGGATTGAAGCCTAATGTCAGCACTTTGGCCAGCATCATTCCCATATTCACCCGTTTAGAAAAATTTGATATTGGTAAATCTGTTCATGGGTTTGCTCTTAAATCTGGATATTTTGAGGATGAAACTTTGACGCCTGCTTTAATTTCATTATATGCCGGTGGTGGGGATTTATCGGTTGCTAGAAATATGTTTGACTGCTTACTGAAAAAGAATGTCGCCATTTGGAATGCCATAATCTCTGCATATACACAGAACCAGAAATCTAATGAAGCCTTTGAAATGTTCCGACAAATGCTCCAAGTTGACTTGCAGCCTAATGCGGTCACTTTTGTGTCAATCATCCCCTCTTGTGAGAATTTTGGTATCATTTTGTACTGTGAATCCCTTCATGCTCATGTAATAAAAGATGGATTAGACGGTCAACTTGCTGTGGTTACTGCGCTAATGTCAATGTATGCCAAGCTTGGAAGTATGAACTCAACTAAGTTTCTTTTTGATCAGATGCCCCAAAGAAACCTCCTGTCATGGAATTCAATAATTTCCGGGTATGTGCACAATGGACTTTGGGATACAAGTTTGGATGCATTCCGTGAAATGCAGTTTGAGGGTTTTAATCCAGATGCAATTTCTATCATCTGTATTCTTTCCACCTGCTGTGAATTAGAAGCCATTCTTCTAGGAAAGTCCGCCCATGCGTTTAGTCTTAAAAAAGGATTTGGTTTGAATGTCAATGTGTCCAATGCACTATTGTCATTTTACTTGAATTGTTGTCAGATCTCCTCTGCTTTCAAACTATTCTCTAGAATGGTTGTAAGAAATGAGGTTTCATGGAATACTATGATATCTGGATGTGCACACAATGGAGAAGAACGAAGAGCAGTTGCACTTCTTCATCAGATGCAGCAAGAGGGCATGGGCTTGGATTTGGTTACCCTTGTAAGTGTTCTTCCTTGTTACAATGGGACTGAAAATTTGGTGCATGGTAAGGCTGTTCATGGCTATGCTATCAAAATGGGTTTTGCCTTGGACGTTACTTTAACTACTGCACTTATTAGCATGTATTTTAACTGTGGAGAACTTGATGCTGGGAAATTACTTTTTGAGGTCATGCCTAATAGGAGTGTAATTTCTTGGAATGCTCTGATAACTGGCTATCGATATCACAACCTACATGACGAGGTCATCATGTTGTTTGTTCAAATGATAAAGGAGGATCAGAAGCCAAATTATGTGACCATACTGACTGTATTACCCATGTGCTACACCCAGTTGCAAGGCAAGTCCATTCATGGTTATGCAACTAAAGTAGGGATTGTGCTAGAAGCTCCTCTTCTAACATCTCTTTTATTCATGTATGCTAGATTTAAAAATATAGATTCATGTATGTCAGTCTTTGAGATTGGGGAAAAGAGTATTTCTTTGTGGAATGCTATTATGTCTGTTCATGCACAGACCCAAGATGCAAAAAAAGCAGTTGCTTTCTTCTGTCAAATGCTTCAAATGGGAGTGAAACCTGATTATGTAACAGTTTTGACCTTAATTTCAGCTTGTGTTCAGCTAAACAACCTGAATCTCACAAATTCTGTGATGGCTTATGTGATACACAAGGGATTCGACAAAAATGTAGCCGTCAACAATGGCCTTATCGATTTGTATGCAAGATGTGGGGACATTTCAATGGCAAGAAAGCTATTCGATGGTTTTCTTGAAAAAGATTCCGTCTCTTGGAGTGCGATGATCAATGGACATGGGTTGCATGGTGATGGTGAAGCTGCCCTTGCTCTTTTCTCGCAGATGAAATCTTTGGGTATGGAGCCTGATGAAATTACTTATACAATTATTTTATCAGCTTGCAGCCATGCAGGTTTAGTTGAGCAAGGCCGAATAATTTTCAAGTCTATGGTAGAACATGGAATTTCGCCAAGGATGCAACACTATGCTTGTATGGTAGACCTTCTTGGGAGAACTGGTCACTTGAATGAGGCTTATGACATTGTTAAGAACTTGCCCCATAAGCCTTCTGCGAGCTTACTCGATTCTTTGTTGGGTGCTTGTGTAATTCATGACAATATTGAACTTGGAGAAGAAATTGGTAGGTCTCTTCTTGAAATGGACCCTGAAAATTCGGGATCATATGTGATGTTATACAATATCTATGCAGCAGCTGGAAGGTGGACTGATGCCAATAGAGTAAGGTCTAACATGGAAGGGAGACAACTAAGAAAAGTTCCTGGTTTCAGTATTATTGAGGGAACTTGACATCATGACGAATTATTGTCATGAAGTTTTTTTTTGGGTTAACTTCAGTTACACCCCCTGAGGTATGTCTTAACTTCAAGGAGACCCCCCCACGTTTGCAAAACTTCAGTCAGACCCCCTACTTTTTTTGACACACATCAGTCTCCCCCATCAGTCAACGGTTAAAGTTGGTTAGAGAAACTTTTTGCCGACGTCAGCAAAAAATGAGCTTTTAATGCCCAGATTGCCCCTAAACGGTTCTGTTTGTTTACAAACATTAACGGTTATGTTTGGCTTCAGGTTATAAAGCAATTAAAATGCCCAGATTGCCCACAAAGTCCATGTTAATGCCCAGATTGCCCCTCAACTCCAACAGTCATGTTTGGCTTCTATAAATAGGAGATAGGCACAATGTTTTTTTGCACTTCCTCTCTTATATTCTCCTATGTAAAGTGCCTCTCTTCCTTTCTTATATTATCCTATGTAAAGTGATGTCTCAATCAGCGTAAATAGTCGTGAAGGTAGAGGCAGAGGCTATATACAGTATAGGAACAAGATTTGTTGCTGTGGGGATTTTGCTATAGTGAAGGTTACAGAGAATGACAAAAATCGCAACAAAAGCAGGCTGTATTATACTTGTGAAAATGAAACATGTAGTTTTTGGGAATGGTGTAACCCTATAGATGGTTCTGTTGGTGCTGCTGAGGAGTATTCACCTGCAAATCAACTTTTGCTTGAGGTTGTTGCTGAATTGAGGTTGCAAAGACAAGCTATAGGTTCAAGGTTACAAGTTGTTGAAACAACTATTTTGTATTTGAAGATAGTTGTATTTACTTGCTTCTTGTTATCTGTTTTTTACTATTTATTTGAAATAAAATTATGCAATGCATATTGACCTATATTGAGTACATTTACCATTGAAGCATCATCAATCTATTATCATTGCACATGCATATACAACCACAAATCAAGCATCATCTATTACTGAAAAACCACAAAAAAAAAAAAAAAAAAAAAAAAAAAAAAAAAAAAAACATAACCATTGTCAACTACAAACTTACAAACATAACCATTGTTAACCACAAGTTACAAGTTTCAAACAAAGTAGGTCATAAAAAAATCCTCACTGTTGTATGGTGAATAAAACCCAAAGGAGCCTCCAACTGCTAGTTACTGTTGTGTTTCTTTCCTTGGTACTGTTGATTTTGCTACTCTCTCTGTAATTGAATATTAGGATTAGAATACTAATGCAACAATAAGTTAATATGTATAAGGATAAATATTAGGTAATTTATTGCTTACCCATGGTGGAGGATTAACACCAATACCACTCTCACTTGGCTGTCTTCCACCTCTGATGCCACTCTGGTTTGGCTGTTTTCCAACTCTGCTACCACTCACATTTTGTTGAGAACCACCACCAATGCCACTCACATTTGGTTGAGAAGCTCATCTTGCACGTACATTTCTTCCACCTCTTGCACTTACATTTCTTCCACCTCTCCTAGTAGTTTGGGACTGGAAAAAATTTAAACAAAAAAAATTAGCTAAGTACAGTATTGGGTAATCATAGAATTAAAAAATTGTTATAGTGAACATAAGTAAGGACTTATACCTATTGTGTAACACCAGAAGTTCTTGCTCCTTCTGATCCTTGAGTTTGAGACCTTATGTTTTCCTAAATTAACAATTAGAAGGTATATAAATCAGTAATAAAAGAAATTTATCAAAACATAGCAAGTTTAAAATTGACTGAAACACTCACTGCTGCTGTTTGAGCTCTTCCTCTTGCACTTGCAGCCCTCCCTCTTGCTACTGCAACTCTTTCTCTTGCTGTTTGAGCTCTTTGGCAAGTCCTCCTATTATGACCAGTTTGTAGGCAATACTTGCATGTTACAACTGATGATCTCTTGGTACTCCACTTGCACTTTCAGGGGCAGGTTCACCTTGTTCCCTTCTTCTATTTTTTCTTGGTCTACCAGGTAATCTTCTTGGTTTAGGAGGGTATAAGTCAATTGATGAAGTTTTGGGCACATCTTCTCATCCATCAAAGGATGAATCATCCCACTGTGGGCAAGTAGATATGTGTCCTTACTGTAACAAGGATTACAAAAATGCTCAGGGTCTTGCCTATTCCATGAAATAGCACCAGCTGTATGCCTGCAAGGTATCCCTGATATCTGTCATGCTCTACATGAGCAAGTCCTCAAGTTTAAATTAACCACACTTACTCCCACCACTTCATGAACTTCAAACTCCTCCCTCCGAGCAGGACAAACTCTACACCCTCTTGATTCTTGAATGGATTTGTTTAATTTTTTCAAGGCATTTGGTGTTAAATTTCCCTTCCAAGCTAAAGCTTTCTGATACCTTTTCTGGATTCTCACCATTAATTTAATCTTAATCCACTCAAGCATATTCAAGATTGGCTTAGACCTATAATGACCAACCCAGTTGTTGAAGGATTCAGTCAAATTGTTTGTGATATGGTCACTCTTTGACGTCTCACCATATCCCACCCTAGACCATATTTCCAAAGGCTTGTCCATTAGCTAATCATGAGCTTCTGTACAAATCCCATTCATGTGATTCATTGCATCATTAAATTCAAGTTCATTGCATGATCTTGCAGCTTTCCAGAAAAAAAATTTCAACAACAACCCAGGATTATCCTTCCTAAAACTGTTAAACAAGTGCCTACAACAAATCCTATGGCTTGCCTCAGGAAATAAGTTAGAAATTGCAACCTCAATACCCTGAAATGCAAAATAAAATAAATTAAAAGTAATTATGAACAATTTAATAATGAACTATGTAATAATGAACAGTTAAAGAAAAAAATTATACCTTTTGCATATCAGACATAATTGTCCAATGTCTGGCATGTGCATCTACACCAAGGATATCCTTCAAATTATCTATAAAAAAAATCCATGTCTCCTTCCCTTCACTTTCTACCACAGCATAGGCAATGGGGAATAGACCATTATTGTCATCCAAGGCCACAACTGACAAAAGTACTCCACCATGTGGGCCCTTTAAAAAACAGCCATCTAACCCAATGAATGGCCTGCAGCCTTTTATAAACCCAGACCTCAAAGCATCAAAAGCAATGAAAATCTTTCTGAATCCATTCACTCCATTGAATTCAGCATCATAATAATCAAGTGTGACCAAACTGCCAGGGTTTATCCTCATAATTTCATTCCTATAGGAGGGCAGCAAACTGTATGACTTCCCATGGTTACCCTCAAACACATCCAATGCCTTTCTTTTTACCCTATAACATTGTTGTTTCTTTGCCCTAATGCCATATTTTTCATGCAGTGCAGTTCTCAGACTTTCAACTGTCATTTGTGGGTTTTGTTTAAGTTTCTTAAAAAACTTCTTTGCAATACATGTAGAATTGGCCAATGGATTTTTATCACCCCTCACACAAGAATGATTGTCATTGTATGTTTTTATCATGTAAGTCTTACAAGGCAGTGGGGAGGCATGGATCCTCCATGGACAACATTTGGCTTTGCAAACACAAGTTACCATTGAACTCTCATTTTTGGTCTTTCTAATTTGAAACCTTTCTTGGATTGTATAATCTGTCAACACCTCTTTAAAATGTTTCACATTTTGAAACAATAAATATTGTTCTAGTTTTATAGGTTGTCCTTCAACCTTTACATATTCCTTTCTTTTAATATTTTTATTCCAATCCTTACTCTTTGATCTATTTCTCTTTGGATATTTCACACCAATCTCTACACTTGAATCAGAATGTGCTTCATCATTTGACTCATAATCTGACATGCCATCCTCACAATCCACATTGTAGTCTTCATCATTGTCTTGAAACCCTACATACTCACCATCTGAGCTATCACTGTCAGTTTCAACACAATCAATATCACCTTCTGCCATTCAATCTTGATTCTCTTTCCTAAAATCATACACATCATCTTTCTCCACATCACTATCCTCTTCCTCATTGTTTTCATCACCCACTTCCTCATCACTATCCTCTTCCTCTCCCTCACTATTTTCAGCATCCACTCCATAATCCATATCTTCATAAGGGTCATCCATATTAGTTGATATATTTAAGAGTTCAACTTCTTCTATCTCAACATACACATTAATGTTAACTCTTTCACTATTTAAGTATAACATGTCCAACAAATCAGCTTCATTCTCAACCAACATCTTAGAATAAGAACCAGGAACATCATAGTATATAGAATAAGTAAACCCCAAACCCCCAGGATAATCCTCAAGAACAGCTCTACTTATGTCTTCCAGGAAATCATACAAACCATACTTATCAGGGTCTACATGATTAATAGTTCTACATTTTGACTTGTAGTGCACGTGAAAATTATGATAAATATCTCCCATCATTGTCAATAATTCAAATAACAAGAAATATAAAAAATAAATGGCATAAATAAGGCACTGGCCAATTGAAACAAAGAAATTGCAGACAGATTGAACAAATTCATGCATTTTCAAATTACAGACATTTTAACATAAATTAAACAAATTCATGCATTTTCAAATTAAACCCCCAAATTGAACAATTTTCAGACAAATTGAAAAAAAATCAAGATCCTAAATTTACAGACAATAGAACAATTCAACAAACCCAACAAAGAAACTCAAAAACTAACCCTAAACCCCCAAACCAAAACAACCGAACAAAGAAACAGTAAAAAAGAAACCCATTTTTCCAAACCCGAAATCCCCTATCAACTAAAACCAAAATCAATTTTTAGAAAGACAAAATCCATACCTCTAAATCGCGATTTTTTCTCAACAGCTTCAAATCAAACAAATGTTTCCCCTTCGAACCTTCAACTATCTGTAGATATGTTGTTTGATCAAACGTATTCAGTGTGTGTATCAACTAAAATTGATGTCTTCACATACGAACCTAGGGTTATATCTCTCTGTTATCTCTTCTCTCTACCTCTCTATCTAGGGTTAGTCGACAAAATGAAATTTCCAAAACCTAAGTTTGGGTTAACGAAGTAAAGTGGATTGAAGTGTTTGGCCACTATGATTAGAATGTGTTTGGTTCACAAGATAAAGCAAAATTGGGTTAAAGTTATACAAACTTTGATTTGATTAAGTGTAAAGAGGAAAACGACAAAAGGGCAATTTAGTCATTTCATTCACTTATTATTTTTTGCCAGCCGACAATGTCTGACAGGGGGTTTGACTGAAATTTTGCAAACGTGGGGGGTCTCCTTGAAGTTAGGACATACCTCAGAGGGTGTAACTGAAGTTAACCCTTTTTTTTTGGGTGGGAAAAGTGCTTTCACCATTCAATGTTTTCAAATGTGAAACTGAAGAAGTCAGAATGAGCATGTGGAGCAGAGAGGCAGCTAACAACAACATTTTGTTGAAGTTGTGGTTCACTTACTAAAGTCATGTGTAAAACTGTAAATGTTAATTCAGGAAAAATTTCTTTGAAAGTGATATTAATGAAAGGTCATTTTATTTTGTTTTTATAAAGAATGCTGAATTTATTTACTTATCTAACTAAATAAATAAGTATTTGGAAAGTGACTCCAACAAAATTGATTAACTTTTCTGGTTGAAAGAGAACTTAGCAGCTTCCTGAAAGAGTAATAGGGAAAATTTTGAGATTAACCATAAAGAGGTTTAGAACTCCCCACTCTCCCCTGAGCTGAGTACTAAGAATATCATTAAAAAAAACAATTCACTATTTTATTTTTATTTATGAAAACATTTACCTCCTACTAAATTGGCCATGTAGTATAGTATCATTTATACTTTTAACAAAACATTTCCCGGGTATGGGGCGAGTCCCTCCCCATAAAAAATAAATGACCTTTGAACGACATCGTTTTACTTTTAACAAAACTAAGGAAACAAGTCAAGGCGTGAGAGAGTGAGAGAGACGGAGAGGTCCTCTGGTTTTGGGAAGCTCAGGAGTGTGGTTTGTGGGAGCGTTATGGCGACGGATGTGGTTGAAGCCCCTTCAACTCCATCTCAGCCACCTACCCATTTCGGGTAAATTTTTTTTTTTTCTTCTCCTTTTCTTTTTTACCCTAATTTTGATCAATTGGGTTTATCTTGTACTATAAGGTTAACCATGTATATGCATTTATATGTTGCAGCCAAACACGCCACTTCTATCTTGCCGTCGACAGACTTAACTTCAAGATGGTGAATCTATATCTCAATTATCAAATATAGTTTTTTATTTTTTAGAATTTTTTTTTTTCCTTTTCTTTTAGGAGGTTGTGTTTTTTCAAGTGATCGAATTGGCATAAATTGGATTGCGCAGGAGACATTGGTGGATCTGTTGGGGATGGCGGGCCACCGTCCGAGCATGCCAATGGTGGTATGTTGCAGCACGCGCGATGAGCTCGACGCGGTCTGCTTCGCGGTCTCCAACCTCTCTTACATTTCTCTGTCCTGTCTGGTACTTATTTTCTATCTCATTCAATTTCCCTTATTTCTTTGATTTTGGTAGATATCAAACAAGAACAGACTTTACATGTAGAATTTGAGATTGAAATTCATTCCCATTCATCAAACCTAGTTGACGATAATAGTATTTCAATTGCTCAGTTAGTTAACTGCTTCTATAAATGGGTTGTGCCCAGTAAATTGACACACTTATTCTTCTTATGCAAATATATGCCTCATCTACAGCTTACTACCAGTGTATTGAGGGCATATTTCTTTTTGGTCTCACATATTTGTGAAATTGGAATTGGCTGGGCAAACTAGATTATTGTATTCCATAGTGCAGATGAAGTTGCTATTGAAGTTCCTGTTTATTTCATTACAAACACTCTTTGTTTGTGTGTTACAAATCACATTTTTTATATGCATTTTATGTATTGTTCATAAACCCTCAGACAAGTGCCCATATTGTACTTCCTTTTGAGATCTCATTTTTTTGGCTCTTGTGGCTGTGGTCATGTCCATGTCCTTGTTATGTAGCATAAGCTAAAAATAATTATGCAAAAATAAAATTTATACTTTGGAGTTTTAAGAGAATTAAATCTCATCGTGAATATTGTACGAGTGCAACAAAAGCTTCAGATTTTTTGTCATTATATATACCTCTACGGTATTAGTATGCATAGCCAAATTGCTCGATGTTGAATCTTCCAAATTGTTGATATATGCCTGTTGATGTTGCCTTTAATAATACGGTTAATACCTTGGCGTATAATAATGTGTCTCTTTCAAGTTTGTACCTTAAACTAATGAAAAATGATTGATGGATAAATTTACGGTGTTAACTGCAGTTGTCTTTGTGTGTTGACGTTATGTTTGCTAATATAGCATGTAACTTTGTTTCCTGTACCCCAGTACAGTGACCTTGCTGAAGCAGAACGTGCATTGATTTTGGAGAAATTTCGCCAAGCAATGATGAGGTGGAATCAGAATGCCAATGATCAATCCAAAGATGATAGTAAAATCGAGAAAGAAGAGCAAAAATCTCATCTGATTGTCGTAACGGATGCTTGCCTTCCACTTCTTGCTGCAGGGGAGTCACCTATTACTGCTCGTGTTCTAATAAATTATGAGTTGCCATCAAAGAAGGTAAAATTCTTTTCCTTTTTATGGGTTTATATGTTCCAAAATTCCATGCATATGTTTGTAGGGTCACCAGTGCTGTTGTGCATTGCATTGTTGTGTGGTAATTGGTGTAATTTGCAAGTTTTTACTTTTTTACTTTCAGCCACATTATATCACTGTGCATTTTTATTGTAATCTCACGGTTACCATGATACAATTGCTTCCCCCATTTACACAACAATATGTGATCTTGTAATTTTAATAGCATACAACTGTTTGACGTCCTTTGTATCAATTATTTTCCAGATTTCTGTTGCCGTTGGATAAATCCATACTTAAAATCAGTTCCATTTTCTTCTTCTTCTTCTTCTTCTTCTTCTTCTTCTTAATGTTGTAGAGTGTTTGAAATTTGGCATTTGAAAAGCAACAATTGCTGATACGGGTAGGGAAATGGGGTTTAACTTAGATATGTGTTGGATGTTGGGCAGGCATTATGATATCAGTGACTGACTTGGCCACCTAAATTATAAAATGTAGTTATGTTAAATAGAACTACTGTGTGTTTGCACCATATGCTTTTTAATATATATATATATATATAAAACTTTATCCGTCCAACCAGGATGAGTAGCCGGTAGCCCTTTTGTCAAAAAGAAAGAAAAAAATAGCATGGCTTATTTATGCATTCCAGTGACTGCACCAATTCTAGATCACGCGGTGGTGAAGACTAATGATTGCTTAATGAAGGAGAGATTTTATCTAACAACAATGCTAGTTGAGGTGGTGAGGAAGGCATGATGGACTACAAAGTAGTGGAACTTGTAACCTTAGATAGAACAAAATGGCAAAATTAGATAAATAAATTAAGTAAAGATTTGCATATGCTACCCAAAATGCTTTGCAATTGGCTTTATGAAGTTGTGTTGAATATGCCAAAAACACAAGTTAGATAAAATACTTGAGGTTAAAAGTAAAAAAAAAAAAAAAAAAAAAAAAAAAAGAAAAAAAAAGAAAAAGGACAGAAATATATGGTTTCTTTGGAACCAGCACATGCTTTTCACTGCATACAATGCTACTTAACATACAACTGGTGGCGACGTTGTTTAATTTTTGTGAGAAACACTTCATTTTGTTGCCATTTGGCCAATGCCTTTTTTTTATTTTTATTGCAATACTATGTGTCTCTGACACGGATAAAAAATCATTTTGTTATGCCATTTCTGCTGACTTGAAAATGTAATCATTTTGGAAGTGCAATAAAAACGGTGAAATGTATAGAAATACATAGAAACACTTGTAAATAGAATCTAAAATTCATTAATTGATGAAGATAAGCCAAATAATTTATAGTTGTATACTACGTATATTTCAAGCCTACACATCTACGGAGGGCTGCAATTGACCCGAGTCTTTCAGGAATAGCTTAGGCTCGGATCATAATGCTCGGTTGTGTTGGTTTGCTAAGTATTTGTGCAAACGAGCCAATCTCGAAAAACCCATGGATCAACTCATTGGACTCAGAACATGTTCATGAAGAGGTTCATGAACGCTCGTGAACTTGGCTCGTTTTTTAGGGCTTATTTGAGTTTATAATCAAATTTTCTCCATATGAATCTTGATATAAGTTGGATTTCAAGTTCAAAATTCGAGAATGAGCTCCAGTTTGAGCTCAAAATCTGCTAAAAATATGCCAAATGAGTTGAGCTTGGATAGTTGCATTCAAGCCAAGCTCAAATACTCATATTTGGCTCAACTCAGGACAAGCTGAGTCAAACAGCTTGTGTTCAGCACAACTTAGCTGGATTGCAGCCCTGCAGCTATCATAGGACAGTGGGGTAAATTTAAGGAGTAAACATAAATGTGAATAAGTCATCAAAGTAATGTCAAATAATTTTTTACTATTGAAAGAAAAGTTTAAATGATTCTAATTCTAAAGCTGATTTACTCATGTAATCAGTAATATACTATATTAATAAGAGAAGTTACATAGAAAATAACTAAGTAAAACAATTAGGAAGTAGGAATATAAGAATTAGCATCCAAGTACTGAAGAAGCTTTTCCTCCTTACCTCCGTTTTTCTTCCTCTTCTTCTTCTTTTTTTTCTTTTTCTTAATTGGTACTCACACACACATGCCTCCACCTAAGCTTGAACCCCTGACCTCCCTTTGGGAAGTAGGAGCCTGGTACCACTAGGCCAGCCCGTTGGTTTCTTCCTCTTCTTCTATTTCTTCTATTTATCTATTAGAGATATTTTGCCCCATAATCTTCAAACTTCTCACGAAGAGAGAATATGAAACTACCTTTTGTTAGTTTTGTGATTGTTGCCAATATAGACAGAATTTCAAAAAGCATAAATCTCAAGTTTTCAACCAAAACAACTTCATTTTAATTGAAACATCCGTACGTCGGTGCTTTATTGTAATCCAAAACAATTTGGCCCTTCCAATGAAAACAAAATATGAACAAAACTTATATCCTTGTTTTGATGCCCCCTTGCACTGCTTTTATTGTTGCCAGCGTTCTTTAATCATAAATTTATTGTGCAATGAGCCCTTCATTTGTGAATGTTCTTCACAAATTTTACGTTGTTGCCCCTTGTTAATAGATTTTGCTTAGCTGCATATATTATGATCACTGTCCATATTCTCCGGTTTATCTACTTCACAATATGGAAAAATTGACCTTACTGGAAAAAAAGGGAAAAATTAAAATAAAGAAAAGGAAAACAAAAATCTAATAACACTCTCAATGCCTCTCACCCTCAAGAAAATTGCCATCAAACCAAGTTTAGGGACATCTTAATAGTAAATGCGAGTAAAAGCCATTGTTGTCTGCTAAGCATACAATATCATGTTATGATTCAGCGCTGCTCATACCTGTTAGAGCCCAATGTTCAACACAAAGGGTCTTGAAGCTGGGTCTTGGTTTGACTTGATATGAATCATTTGTCACAATTAAATTTGAAGCCCTTAGTTGAACCAGCAGTCCTATAATGTCCAGTTGTATTTGGAACCTAGGTAACAAGTACACCAACAGATGATGCTCTATGTCCAATTCTCCAAAAGTATAATAATGGGCCTCTGACTTCTAAATTCATATGGATATGAATGTATAGAAACCACAAGAGATGCCACTCTCAAGAAGGTATCATTAGAATTTAGAAGAGGTATATTAGCTAAAGGAAGAAGACAGCAAGTTTTATTGAGGTGTAGAATCAAATTATTGTTTCAAGTATAAAGTAGTGTCTTTGTTATTAGAAAGGTGCAAGGACTACTTAACTAAAGATGACATAGCTAAAACACCATCGCTTATTTTGTTGTGCTTGATCTTGAATCTACTTGGTAAATGAAATTAGATCATTTGATGGAGTAGGGAAAGCCCTTAAGGACACCGTATAATTCATCCTTTTGAAAATTTAGATTCGTGTGCCTGTCCAAATAGAACCCCTTCCCCCCCCCCCCCCCCCCCCCCCCCCCCAAATAGGAGGTATGGCACACAGAAAGAACCTTAAAGCTCCCTTTCCATATGGCGTGTTTAGAGATATTCACAAATGCCTGAACTCTTATACCTACTCGTATAACAAATTTAGTTTTAAGTCACCTTTGACTATGGAACAGCTGTATATCCTTGCTATTCGTAATAAGTAATTAGTATGAATTTCCATCCATAAGAATTCTCCCTGCCATAGCGTTTGTCCTTTTCATGATGTTGTTGGTTTTAGTCCTGCCTGACATGGTACCTTGAGGGCTGTTAAGATGAAACTAAATTTCAATATCTGATACTAAATGTTGTTCTCTAGCATGAGTGTCTTTCTTTTTTGTTGCCAATGCCACAAATATAATGTCTTTCTGGGTTGCTTCTTATTATTGTTGGTGGTTGCTTGCAGGAAACATATATGAGGCGCATGGCAACTTGTTTGGCAACAGGTTATTTATTCAATGCGTTTCATTTTCTTGTTGTAGAAGAGTATAGGGATTTGTGTTTTCACAGAATTCTTCATAAATATAAGCAGATGGAATCGTGATCAACATGGTTGTTGGGGGTGAAGTAGTGACTCTCAAAAGCATTGAAGAAAGCAGCAATCTTGTCATAGCTGAAATGCCCATACATGTAAGTTTGCATCTTGTTTCATGCTCGTCTGTTCTCATTTTGCATGGCCTTGGGCCCCCCCCAGAACACTCACTCTCTAGTTCTTCACCTGCTCTTGACAAATTTTAATTGAGATAATCTTGAATGTGGTTGTGATGCAGATCTTTGAGATGTTTTGAAGGTGCTAGGACCCTCGGATTCCCAAATTTGTTTGAGAGGATTTGATCACTTCTCTTCTCAAATGTGTAAGGTATCTCTAATGGGATGGGATTTTGGCATCCATGCCTTGAAAGGCAACATTTTATTTTATTTTATTTTATTTTTTACTGTGGAATATTTTACTATTCGTAGATATGGACCTCCATTTATACCCTCACATGTGAGAAATGATAAGAACAAAATTATTGAAATTTTACTGAGGGTTGACAGTAGTGGTGCAACGTCCATTTTTTCGTTTAGTCTTTTAGGTCTTTATGGCAACCAAACTTAAACATGAGAAAAACTGTTTATGTTTGAAAATCTGACCCCATACCAACGGGAACGAACAGTCAGGGAGGACGCCAATCCAAGTAATGAGGTGAGGTTAAGAATTTGAGCCATATTCATCATACCTTTTCAAAGAGACAAATTAAGTTTTAGGCCTCAACTACAATCAAGACCCATTTTGAATATGTACATCAGATGGGACCTATAATTTTTTATTTTAGTTTATTTTATTTATTTATTTTATAACAGGTAAAGCATATAGTCGAGGGACTTTCTTGAGTTCTAATGGAAAAAATGTTGAGCCCCCTAGCTTTACATGTTACATGTTGGGTTTATAAGGGATGATGTAGCTCAATAAAATAAAATAAAATAACTTTTAAGATAAAGATCAAACCAAACCTGGCCCACGGTCACGCCGACCTCAGAATTCCATACGATTTACTTAATCCAAAAAAAAAAAAAAAGAAAATTACTTAGTCCCTTGTTCCCAAAAATTTCTTTAATCCATGATTGGGAGAATAAAACTACTTTGATTCGGAGAGCTAGATTGTAAAGATGCATTTTGCATGGCCATTAACACTATAAATATCAATAACCAGTGATGGTCAGTAATCACTTGATAAATGAGGTTATATTTTAATTAAAAGGAATGGAGCACACAACTCCAATTGAAAGGTACAGTAAAAGATTCTTATGGAAAGTGAAATTGTCATCCAGATTCTTCAGCCACTACCATCCTATAGCCATAGGGCATCATCATCATAAGCTTTAAAATGCATCATAAAAACTCCACCACAACCCCAAGCAAACTAACTTGCCTTTCCAGTTTGCACCTTTAGCTACCTGTTGTAATTGTGCAATTGAGGCTAGTGTGTGTGTGTGTGTGTGAGAGAGAGAGAGAATGGCTATTATGTGTTGTATTGAGGTGCAGCCTGACCGGGAGATGAGTGTGGACGAATTCAAAGCTTGGCTACGCCGCTTTGACATGGATCATGATGGTCGGATCAGTCAGGAAGAGCTCAAAGAGGCTCTCCGCAGCCTGCATACTTGGTTCGGGTGGTGGAAGGCCCGTCAAGGAATGAAGGAAGCCGATACTGATCGAACTGGCCATATCGACAATGCCAAGGAAATTGAGAAGCTGGTGAACTATGCCCAACAACGTCTCGGCATGAAAATTTACCAAAGTAATTGGTGATTTTATCAATAGTATTTTTGTGTATCGTGCTTTTATGGTGTCATGCGCATGTAATAAGTGTTGGTGCTTTTATGGTGTCATGCTGGTTTTTGTATTAAACACTAATTTCGTTTGTATTTGTGGTTTAAAAAGTCTGAGCGCTTGTGGGTTAACTCATTGTCATTCATGATTTTTGTGGATTTGAAATAATCTTCTCTATGAATTCATTAACCTTAAAATAAATTATCCTTATTAATTACTGAAAAAAAAAGAACATTCTTATTATTTTTTTAATAACAGTCCATAATTCCATAATTGAATGTCTTGTTTAGTATATCTTCATTAGTTCATTACTGAGTTGTAATATAGCTCCAATTCTGATTTTTTTCATATTTAGTTGAAAAAGAAACCAAATTCATAAAGAATTTTACAACTTTTAAGTGTTATTCCCTCAACCCTATGTGAAATTATGTGAAATTGTCATAACGCATACTAAAAAAAAGAATTAGGGACCAATGGACCACGTATCTAAAAGGTATTTGAATTCACAATCTCATCAAGATATCTACTAAATCATTTTATCGATGCCATGTAAAAAAAAGTTGAAAAAGAAAAAAAGAGAATATTACCTATACCTAAGAAGATAAAAGAATTTTCGGAAACTGAAAAAGGTCGACATGGTCACAAATAGTTAGAATCTACTTTTTTTAGAGTTGTCATGCAAATGCCTCTAGTGATCACGCTTTGCAGATAAAATCTTCTGACTTTCTAAAACCTAAAAGTTGTACATTATGGGGAAAAAAAAGTTGTACATTATCCACAAATTCCTTAAAAATCTTCAAACATTAAATTAAAATTGTATATATCACCTACAAAAACCTTATTTTTTTCTTTATATTGTTACATTTGTTTTTATTTACTTCTAAATGTTTTGTTTTGCTTCCTTAATTTCCTTTTAAAAATATATTTCTTAAGATTTTAGCTGACTTCCTACATAACACAAGGGTACGTGGATATATATATATATCTTGATACACACAAAAATACATATATATTACACATTAAATTCGTTCTGTGATTTGAATATATATATATTCATTTAGTTACATCAAAACAATAGAAAATATTCATTTTAATTTGAGTTATATACAATAGTATACATAGTACCCTAACATCAAAGATAGTACAATTAATCTCAGATTTAAATACTTCCTTCGTCCTATAAAAATATCAAACATGAGACTTTTTACTTTTTATGAGACAAAAGGGATAATATGTTTAGTTTTGCCTACAAATCAAATTATCATAAAATGGGGGGTTTATTACATCCAAAATTGTGATAGGTGAATAAATGACATGTGGCCATGATGAGTAATTGAAGCGCAGGTGATTTGACCAAATAAATTATCAAATGGTGATTAAAGAGAATTTAAAAACATAGATGGGCCTTCACATCTCCGTAACACCACTTTACTTTCATTTTTGTTCTGGACTGTGCCTTCATTGGGATTTTTCGCTCTCTTTTTGGGCTGCCTTGTAAGGCTTGTTCTTGTCTTGGACTTTGGCTTGTCCTTGCTTTGGGCTTTTGGCTTTTGCAGTCTTTGTACAGTTTTCTTCCCTTTAATATATTTTCTTCCAAAAAAAAAAAAAAAAAAAATCACTCTAGCATGTTCACATTTGATATTACATATTAAAATGGTATTCTAGTTAATTAGTTATACTTAGAGATGCTATTATAGATGCCTATAAGAAGGGCATTTTTCATGTTTTAAATGTAAAAATTAGGTAGGAAAAAAGAAAAAAGAAAAAAATGTAAAAATTAGGTATGAAACTGAAACAGTACTGTTGGGTTATGGCCTGTACGCGTCCGTACCCTAGACCAGCGGACATTAATTCTTTTGTTTCCCGCGCTATTACAAAGCTGATGAAGGTGTCCCATGACTACTTGCATAGGGAAGAAAATTTTCATCTTCCTTTGACCTCCCTATGTCATTGGAAAATGATCAAATATATATATACATACATACATATCTACAAAAGTATAAACAAATGTAGTAGTGTAGTACTACATGACATTTAAGAGTATATTAGTTTAAGAAATTAATGACTTTTTGCTCATAAGATGGGAGACCAAAAGAGAGACCGTAACCTTAGACCAAGCCTAAAAGCATGCTTTTTATATTAGTCAATTAATTTGATCTCGAACCCAAGTTAGTCCAATCAGTTTTTGCTTATTCAATGCAGTAGTAGTTTTGACTGTATTGATATGTGGGAATCCACCAAAGTGTTCAATCCCCATTTGGAAAGTTAACCCCATGTGATTGACAACCATGCCCCTTTCAATGCAATTTAAAACAAATACCCATGCACATGAGACTATATTACCAACCTAGCTAATTAATCCCTCTATCTCTAAACGGGTTGGATTTTTTTTTTTAATTTTTTTCTTCTTTTTTTAATTATTTAAATAGAAGAGGACGATATAATTATTGCAGAAATATTATGAGAAGAGCACCATGATGTTTGAGCTCTTCATATTTAATAACGATATTTTTATTTTTTTAAAAATATTAAAATTAAACATCAACAATAGATGATCCTGTTATATATACACCAAAAAAAAACTGTAGCAAATGATCCTATTATATATACTTATATATACTTATATCAGTATATACTTATTACTTGTTTATCACTAAAGGAAATCCTGGTATCACATGGTCCCATCGATCTGTCTATATCGCCAGCTCATTCACTGTTAATCACTTACAAGTCAAACCTCAGTCAACCTGGGCAATGCATGCATGCATGCCAACGCCTTTCACAGTGTCTCTATATTTTATATTGATATATAAGTTTCAAATTAAATAATAACAACATTCTTACCATCCATCATAACGGTTAACATGTGCATACATGAATTATTTTTTCATCCATCAGAACGGTTAACATGTGCATACATGAATTTTTTTTTTTTTTTTAAATAATTTATTGTGGAATCACAGTCAATAACATACTCACATATTTATAGAATTTGTATTGAATTAAAGAGAATATTATAACACGGATTACTTAGTAAGTAGCAAATGAATTCGTTATATGACACTGGGCTTACTATAAATAGTAATTATCTATATAAGTGTGTTAATCTAACAATTAATAAAGTTTAAGAATTATCGACAATATACAAGAAAAGTTTAGAGAATTCTACACTATAATTCTAAAAAAGTTAAAAAAAGTATAGGTAACTTCACACTATTTTAGAGAAATTTAAAAGAATCGACTCTGTAGAGAAGTCTAAAACGTTTACAATCCATGCAAGCTATCATGTCATGTATGTTGTAGGTGTGATGCTAGCGTAGCGTAATCATTTGGTGTGCAAATTTAACTATATATAAAAATAAAAAATATATATAAAATTTTAAAAACCTCATTTAATATGACACGTATGTAAAAATACTAAATATGTTTACACCCTTATTTTTCACTTTCCAGTAGGAGATTACCCTGGTCGATTTTAATGGAAAGGTACTACCACATTCCAGTGAAAAGTCTTGGGACACATGGCAGCCAAGGAAACAAGCGGTTACAAGTGGTTCCATGCAAAGTCATGGAACACATGGCAGCCTAAGAAGTGAGCGGTTACATGCAAAGTCATGGGACACATGGCAGCCTAGGAAGTGAGCGGTTACATGCAAAGTCATGGGACACATGGCAGCCTAGGAAGCTGGTCGATTCTAATGGAAAGTTACTACGACGTTCCAGTGGAAAGTCTTGGGACACGTGGCAGCCAAGGAAGCAAGCGGTTACATGCAAAGTCATAGGACACATGGCAGCCTAGGAAGTGAGTAGTTACATGCAAAGTCATGGGACACATCCTAGGAAGTGAGCGGTTATATGCAAAGTCATGGGACACATCCTAGGAAGTGAGCGGTTACATGCAAAGTCATGGGACACATGGCAGCCTAGGAAGCTGGTCGGTCCAATGGAAAGGTACTACGACGTTCTAGTGGAAAATCTTGGGACACATGGCAACCAAGGAAGCAAGCGGTTACATGCAAAGTCATGTGACACATGGCAGCTTAGGAAGAGCGGTTACATGCAAGCTACCATTACTAAATTCTATAAATAGGGCATGATGTTGTAACTTAGAGAGCCTGTTCAACGTTAAACACAACATTTCAATACAATTTTACTTTTCATTGCAATGCACTTTCAATATGATTAGTATTAGTCCTACACTTTACTTTTCATTAGATAATTTATTTACTTTCATAAGTAGCGTAGTTCCTCCT